AAGCGGGCAGAGTATGCCATCAGGATGATGCTGTAACAGCAGCTTGTGAGTAGGAAGAGACTGGTGGCCAGAATCTGTTTTAATATGTTAAGTAGTACCCCAGTTAGCCACTTGTCCATTTGAGTTTGAGACCTAACAGAGACCATCCTACTATCTTCCCCTTCTCTGTCTCTCCCTCCTGCCTTCTTCCATACTTCTGTTTTCTGACCCTTCAAAGGATACACTTTACCTTTTGAAACGGTGACCTTCACCTCACCCTAAAAGGCAGGTTAATATGCTCAGCAGTGTCAGCCCTCCCTGTTCCCTGCTCCAACACTGCCCACAGCTCTCCACAATGCAGGCCTCTCAATGTGCCTCCTCCACACAGGAGAAGAGGGCACAGCAGTCTCTGCACAGATGTGGAAGTGAGGCTTAGGGAAACATCATAGCTCAGGAGGCAGTGGACCTCCCAGAGCCATGTTGAAAGGAATGGGAATCCAAAAGCAGCCATTGACCCTGAGCAGGAAGCTGGCCACTCTCTAGGAGCCTCGACTTCCTGTTCCACAACATGTGAAAACAAAGACATACAGCACAGAGGACTGACAGAGAGGCAGTGTACACATCACAGGGCAGAGGCAACTACTATCCTGATGTCTGTCATTTCTAGGAGCTGAAATCTCAGAGGAAAGCAAACAGAATACTCTCCAGGGTCCCCCCCACACTTCCAAAGGGGTTTTAGGTTCCAAACTCCCAGGAAGAAGCTATGGGGTGACCACAGTCCCTCCCACCCTGGGCCTCCACAACTGGACAGATGATGGGAGGGACAAGGCCAGCAGATTACATCACTATGTAGGCAGACACCTTGCTGCCAGGCCAGAGCCCAGCAGCCAGAGCCTGGCTTCTTTCTGTGTTCTGTGCAGCACAACCACTCCTGACAATCTCCCAGACAGAACTTATCTGAACTAAAACCTATTAACTTTAATGTAACTTTCTGGAAAAACACCAGGGACGGCAGCCAAAGAGCCACTTCCGGTACTAACTTCTGGATCCCTGTTCTTGCTGGAACCAGTCGGGTGAAGAACCAAGAACAGGAAGAAAACGCTTAACACTAAAAAACAAGACACTAAGGATTCATCTCCTTGCTGAGTTCTTCAAGTAATGCCTGAAGAGCCAGCCCTGATCTTCCTTCCCAAAGGTTCAAAGACTATCAAGAGCCAGGCCTCTCCTAGGTGAGCTAAAAGCTCTGCTCTCTCACCATGGCGAGCCTGACTCCCACAGACCTGAAGGAGAAAAAGCCCACAAAGACAGATGCAGGAGACATCAGGTAGTCTTCACAGGATCACGGTTTCCCCAACCCTGTAGGGCAGTGGTTCTCAACCCATGGGCCACAACCCCTTTGGCAAATCTCCATCTCCAAAAATATTTACATTGCAATTCATAACAGTAGCAAGATTCCAGTTATGAAGTTTCTACTTCAAAGACAGTTTTATGGCTGGGATCACCACAACATGAGGAACTGTGAAAGGGTTGCAGCATCAGAAAGGTTGAGAACGGGGCTGGAGAGATGGCTCAGCGGTTAAGAGCACTGACTGCTCTTCCAGAGGTCCTGAGTTCAAATCCCAGAAACCACATGGTGGCTCACAACCATCCGTAATGAGATTGGATGCCCTCTTCTGATGTGTCTGAAGACAGCTACAGTGTACTCATAAATAAAATAAAATTTAAAAAAAAAAAAAAAAAAGAAAGGTTGAGAACCACTGCTCTACAGTCTCAGAGAATCTCCCTCCCCAGGTACTCCAAGCCAGGAAAACAGAAGAGAACCAGGGGGCGGTGGGCCTCCCAGCCTCCACTGCACATGAGGACCTTCGAGGAAACACAACCAGGCCAGCCCCACCTCTGACAGTACCTAGTTTGGGCACCCAGATGATGTTTAACATACAGACTTGCTCCCATGTTGATACTCAGCCCTAGCACTTAAACCTCCTCCAGTCCCAGGTCTAGCCTTGTGCTAACCACAGGTTGTCCCTATAAGAGGGAAGGAGGGCTATGCACGGGAACTTGTCTAACTCAGAGAAGCTGATGAGTGAGCCTGATGTCAAGTTGAGCCACAAGGCTGACAAGTGGAGACCCGGTCATCTGCACTCACAGAATGAGCACCCAGCACACAGCATAGCACCAGCACTGACCATGAAAACCACATAGGCTGCCTCCGTGGGCCAGCTCAGATGTAGAGCCACAGCCTCAGGATCACAGGCAGCTGCAGGGGCAGAGCAGGTATTAGATGCACACCCTTCTGGACAAACTTTTAGAGCAAAGTCCCCCACCCACTACTGCCACTATCTGCAAATGGGACTTGGAGAATCTGCAAGGTTGTAGCCTGCTGCTGACAGAGCAAAGACATACCCAGCCTGCTGGTTCCAGAGTTCCTGCTTAGCTACAAGGCTTTATCCTCAAAGGATACAAAAGCTGTGTCTTTGCAAACAAAATAACTGAAAGATGTACCCAGGGAGAGGCTGGCACCTCCCTGTGACATTCTGGATTGGGTCCTACCATCACTGGTAGTCAGTGACAATGCTAATAGGATCAACTCAGCATGAGGGGACACTACAATGGCCTGCCAGCCTACTGGGCACTTCCACTCCCATCTCCCCCCCAACACACACACTCTCCCTCCCTCCCTCCTCCTCCTTCCTCCTTCCTCCTTCCTCTTTCTCTCTCTCCCTTCTTCTCTCTCTCTCTCTCTCTCTCTCTCTCTCTCTCTCTCTCTCTCTCTCTCTCTCTCTCTCTCTCTGGGGGCACTGGGTTAGGTGTCCAATCACACAGCAGGGGTACAGAAAAGCCCAGTCCCTCCAGCCCACCCTCAAGAACGGAAAGGGTCTGAAGCAGCAACAGGCAGGCTGGTGGTCCTATGAGCTCCCGTGGGGCAGAGCATGAGGCTGGACCCTACCCCTCAGCTAGGCTACAGGGTCTCCACAGTAGGACCACCTCCACCCCCAACACTTCACCCTATGATTCAAGGTCCAAGTCCAGCATCCACTCCCATTTCCCATAAGCATATGCTGGGACTGTCCCAGGGAGACAAGACCAGAGGCCAAGGTGAATAAAAAGGCCCTGGTAAAGCCCCCACATGCAGCAGGCACAGTGTACTCACTGCAGGGACAGAGCTGCCTCATCAAAACTGCTGACAATGACAAGGGACTCTTCTTTATAAACAGCCTGACCACACAGTGGGCTGATCAAGTGATGGAAGCTTAAGCCAGATTTATGTGCCTTACATCATGCATTCCACCACAGCAAATTAAAAATCAAAATGAAATTACATGATATTATACACTGAGTACTCCAAGGTTGAACTGCTGAACAAAGTGTGGGTTTGGTTGGAGTTTTCCCATCTTTTTCTCTATATGGTTATTCCTGGGGTGTGTGTGTGTGCATGTGTGTGTGTGTGTGTGTTGTGTGTGTGTGTGTGTTCCAGTTTTCAAGTATCGTTCGCTATACAGTTACTCAATGCCTGGTGCGTGCATGAATGAGTGTGTGCATGTGTTTCAGTACTCTCCAGAATCTAGGCCGTCAGCCCCTCCTACCCAGAATGCTGTGCAAACTCATCTCAACTACTTCCAGGAATAAAACCAGGAAAAAAATCCCAAACAGACCTATCAGACTGAGAAGCCACTCACAGAACAGGATACCACCAAGGCACCGTCCAAACAGAAGGGAGCACAACTCTGTATGTACATGATACTGCATAAACCTCCCTGCACCTGCATTCTGGTGCACACACACCAGGAATGCAGGGACCTCTGGGCATCACAGAGACCTTACTCTATATTACCTGGCCTTGGCATATTTCTGGAACCTTGGTGCAAGCCTTCATGACCCCTTCACTCTTGCATCTCTCATGCCTGACAAACCTGCATCACTTGCATGGTACCAAGTTCTGCTGACAGCTACAGGCCTAGTCTCTCCACAAGTCAGAGCTGAAGAAGCCTTTGTATGTTTTTATAGCCAAAAGAAACCTCTAAAAACTGGTCCCACATAGAAACAGACTCTCAAAGGAGACTCACGGGGACAGATGAGGGCAGTGCCTCCCAGAAGCCCAGTCCTGAGCACTAAACTGGTTTTGAACCCCACTTCACAGAGGAGCCCCTTGAGGAACAGACTGCTCAGCATTTATATCTGAAAAGTTTGCTCTCCTGTTCACATCCTGGACTCATGGGCCATTTCCTCAAATACGCAGTCTGAGGATGGTCCTCAGGGAAGTCAGGCAATGCCTGTCTCTGCCTCCTCTCAGCAGCAGGCTGAAGCAGCTAGCTCAGAGGCTACAACAAGCTGTGGGGGAGGGGCAGGCAGCATGGGGGCTTTAGAAGACAAGCTAAGGTCTGTGTTTATGATCCCACCTACAAGGAATTAATAGGAAGCTTTAGCTAACATGAATAAAGCCCTGAGTTTGATCCCTACCACTGCAAAACCAACATTATATACACTGTAACCCCCAGCACCCAGAAGATGAGGGCAGGAAGATCAAAATTCAAGGTCACCCTCAGCTACATACAAAGTTCAAGGCTAACCTGAGCTACATGAGACTGTATTACAGGAAGCAGAAGCAGGCAGATTTCTGTGAGTTCAAGACTAACCTAGGCTGTTACATAGAAAAACACAGGGTGTGGGGAGCAAATTAAAAAATGAGTAATCAATATTTCTGGTGGTGTCTAACCCTGTTATTCCATACCCATGCTCATCAGGAAGCCACCAATGAGACTCAGCCTCCTGGGTCTTTGCATCTGCATCTGCCTGGCCTCTGGTTCCTCTCCCTCACTAGGGGGTGCCTCGCACACTCAGCATTCATGGCATCCCCTACCATCAGGCTTGGGTGGTTCCCCTTGACGAAGAAGGAGGACCCACCCTCCTGTTCCACCCTGCCACACAAACCTGGCTTCAGCATGTTCCCATCTGTGACACAGAGTTGGCAGATGGCCAGCCTGTGCAAGTGTGTGTCAAGCCCACACCAAGAGCCCACTCACCTTCCCAAAGTCTCGGACATCAAAGAGGTCGAAAGGGTCAAACAGCTCACTGTTCCTTAGTCCAAATTTGTCGTGGCAGACTTTGAGGAAGGTTCGAATATTCTTCAGACACAGGAACTAGAGAGAGAGAGAGAGAGAGAGAGAGAGAGAGAGAGAGAGAGAGAGAAGCATTAGTAAGAGGACAACATCACAGAAAACATCAGTCACATCTGCCACAAGCTCCTGCCTTGGTGTGCCCATGCAGAGGAATTAGGCAGTTTAGCAGACGACATTCCCATTACAGGCTGAGGAGGTGGGCTGGAGCTCAGAACCACTGCAGCCTCTGGCCTCTCTCAGGGTGCAGAATGTTCCATTCACATTGGTCCGAGGGTGGGATACCAAATCAAAGCCAGCTAACACCCACCCTGCCCTGCCCTGGTATATCCAATGCTGACAGTCACAGCAGCAAAGAAACACACTGGCTCGACAGAGCACCTCACCACTCCATCTTCCTCTCTCCATGTCTGTCTGTCTCTCTCTCTCTCTCTCTCTCTCTCTCTCTCTCTCTCTGTACATGTATAAGCACATACTCATATAAACCTGTGCACATGTGTGCACCTGTCTGTCTCCATATCACTCTCATTTCCTCTAAACAACATTTAGAATGAACTGTGCACACCATATGCTTTATCCCTAAACACCTGAGCATGCATTTCCTGGGACAATGACATCACTGTACATGTTCACAGCACAGTCAAGTCAAGAAATTAGCACAGATGCCACCCAATCTGCACATTACATAAAAGACAACCAGAATGGACTTTATGATAAACAAAAAGGAAAGGATGCAAAAGAGAGGGGAGGGGAGAAGTGAAGGGGAGAAGCAGAAAAGGGGAGAAATCTGGCTAGGGAGGGAAGAGGAAAGAGGGGAGGGGAGGGAAGAAGTCTGGCTGAGAGTCCAACCCAGCATCACATGGAATATTGCTGTCACGTCCCTTTAGTTTCCACAAAACTAGAACTGGAGTGTCCTTTATATACTCTGTCCCGTACAGTCTGTGTCACTAGACACATGTACCCAACAAGCACGTCAATGTTAACTTAAGCCATGCATGACTGAGAACCACTGATAGGGACCACTGATACTGTACCATGGGTACAATATGCTCCTCATCTCCGTCTTCTATAACCTGACGGTTCTGAAGTACCCTTCCTGTGAAGGTCCTAGAGTCTAGATTCAGCACAGGAAGCATTTAGGGGAGAAGGGTTTGTGTAAGTGGTAACAGCCTGGGAAAAAGCCACCCTGGTGGTGGATGGGTCATGCACACACACTGCTATACCATAAATGCTTAAAGCACCAAGCTGGATGCTTGGAATGGGAAGATAGAGTAGATATAGTGGCCTACTCCTGCACCTAGGAGGCTGCGGCAAGAGGACAATGTGTTCCAGGCTAGCCTGGGCTACCTAGCAAGACCCTGTCTCAAAACAAAGAAAGAAGGAATAAAAGGAAATGGTCAAGACGATACATGTTTACATATCTCAATTAAAAGACTCAAAAAGACAGACGTGGAGACAGTGTGACCCACAGGCAGAAGGCCCTGTGATGGAGGCTGCTGCATCCCCAGCGGCCAGCAGCAGCTGAAGACAGGCCTGGGGCGGCTCCCTCAGGACACCATCATAGTCAGTCTCTGGCCTCCACCAGCAAGACGACGACTTCTGCAACTATAAGCCACAAATCAGCAGACATGCACACTTAGGCAGAAAACAACAACAGTGCACAGAGACCAGCCTGGAAACTGGGGCGAGGGGGAGGCTCTGCACCCCGGTGCCACCTCCTACTTCTCCTGCCCCGTGGAGCACTGGGCTTGCAGCCTAGCTCAACTATTTTTGCCCATGGCTACTCTCTAATTTCCACTAAGCATTTATTTTAATTCCTCCCTGGCCTCCCATTTTGGAGTTAATTACACAGGTCCTGACCATAATCATGGTCAGTGAGGCCAGGCTTCTTTTCAGGGCACAGCACAGTCCAGTATCCCTTGTCCAGCAGCCCAGCCTCAGCCTGCACCCACCCCACCACCACTCCCACCAGTGACCACTTGGGCAGCCTAACCTTCAAGAGTCCTGCCCCTGGAAAACAGCCACCCAGGCAGAAGCTGGCTTCACAGACAGGAACAAAGGTCCTGGAGGCTGGCTGATGTGAGTATCTTCCAGGAAGCAACATGCACACCACCTTACCGCCCTTTATGCAGGGCACCCCATAATCTACTCACTCTATGTCCTTGTTCACTGCCATAGTCCTGTGGGCTATCTTATCTTACACAGAAGAAAGCCAAGTCAGTAAATAGACTAAGGACTTTGGCACACAAGCTGATGATAGCATCAAGGGCCACAAACAAGCCCATCCATTATCTGCTTCAGAATGAAGGGCACTTGAGATGAAAGGGTTCCTCGGGGACACAGGGTCACCTGTTGTCCATGCCTACCAACAACACACTTAATTCCCTCTCTCTCACTATACAATTAGGGAAACCGAGGCCCAAAGGGGTAGAGGTTGGTGGAATACCTAGCTAGGAAGGGCAAGCCCACAAGCCTATGGCAGCTGTCAGACTCTCCTCTTTCCATGGGGGCAGGGTTGCCCATGGAGGCGGAGCTTCCCATGGGGCAGGGTTTCTCGTGGAAGTGGGGTTTCCCATGGAGGCGAGGCAGCAACCACTGTTGGTGCATCGCAGATCCCTTCTTCCAGGACTTCCCAGACACCAGGAGGGCACGACGCTGCCAGTTGAGGCCACTCGCTCCTATACTGCAGAGACTGGCTCAGATTCTAGACAGTTCTGAGGTCGTGTGTGTGTGTGTGTGTGTGTGTGTGTGTGTGAGGGAGAGAAGGAGGGAGGACGGAGGGAGGGACGGAGGGAGGGACGGAGGGAGAGGGAGGGGCCCTGAGGCTGCCGCAATCGTGAAAGAATATAGGCGAGTGAAGTGCAATCACACAACAGCACCTGGTTGCAGGCCCATCCTTATTGCATCAGGGGTGCGCAGTATTTTCTTCCTCATCTGGCTTAGCCTTTGGGGCCTTCATAGGACAGCCAGAGGCCTCAAGGTGTCCTGAGGTAACACTCAAGCTCAGAGGAATTCTGGTGAGTGTCCACATGAGTAATAAGGCTATTAAAGGGATGGCAAGCAGCAAGCCACTGTGTTTGTTTAAAACACTAGAGGGCACAGGCCAGCACCTCCTATTGTCCTTGACCCTCCTTGGTCAAACAACCCTGCTTAGTGTGGCCTTGGTGGTGGTGAGTCCCAGAGTAGACTGAGCTGGAAACATCAGCAGCAACTCCTAGAGGAACTAATCAGGCTGAAATCACATTGGCAACAGGACAGGCTCTAAGCCCAGGTACCCACACGCCTCCCAAGGCTCAGCGGGACAAGAAGTCTGGGTGTTGTTCAGTCATCTGTCATCTGTCATCTGTCATTCAGCTATGGCAAGGATTGGGGGAAGGAGCACACATGTGAGCTGCCAGGAGGCCTAGCAGCAGGGAGGGGAGTTTTCAGGCCCAGCCCAAATGGTCTCAGAACAGCCACTTCTCCATGGGGCTTTGAAACCACCTGGCCATGGGAAAACAGCCCTCCCCAGTCCAAAGGAGAGACAGACCCATCGGGAGAGGCAGTCGAAAGGCTGTGGAGACCACCACCTTTGTAGGGCTTCTGAACACTTCCAGAATGAGGGGCCAGTCAGGCCTGCCCTGCAAAGCACATTCTACACGAATGCTCTATGTTCAGCACCGAGACGTGGACATAAAATAGAACCAGACCAGGGGAGTTAGTTCACCCTCCTAAGGCCACACAGTTAGCTAAGGTCATGCTTCGTTTCAACTGCTAACTTGACACACTCGGAAAATCACCTGGGAAGGGAGTCTCCATCTCCAAAGGGATTGTCTAGATCAGCGGTTCTCAAATTGTTAGTTGTGACCCATTAGAGAGTCAAACGATCCTGTCACAAGGACCTGCCTAAGAGCATTAGAAAACATAGATATTTACGTTATTGTTCATAACAGCAGCAAAAACTACAGTTATGAAGTAGCAACAAAATGAGGAACTGTATTAAAGGGTCAGCACCAGGGAGGTTGAGAACCAGTGGTTTAGATCAAGTTAACCTAAGGACATACCTGTGAGAAACTGTCTTGATTAAGTTAGTTAGATAAGAAGAGCCTACCCACTGTGGGTGCCAGCCACTGGTCTGGGGACTTGGACTCTAAGAATGGAGAAAGCTAAGAAGTAAGATAAGCATTAACATTTCTCTGCTCTTAACTGAGTTTGACAGAAGTAACTGCCTCAAGTCCCTGTTGCCCTGACTTCCCACAAGAGAGACGGTGAGAAATCAACGTTTTCTCCCTAGTCCGCTCCTGTTGAGGTCTTCTACCACAGTGACAGAAGTAAATCAGAGCACTGACCCTCAGCCTGGAGTAAGTCAGAGCACTGGCCCTCAGCCTGGAGTAAGCAGCTTGAACATGGGGGGGGGGGGGGGATCAGTACTGACCACTGGGGACAAAGAGTCATCTCAGGTGTCATGGTTTAAATATGCCTGGCCAAAGGATTGGCACTATTTAGAGGTATGGCCTTGTTGGAGTAGGTGTGTCACTGTAGGTGTGGGCTCTAACACCCTCATCCTAGCTGCCTGGAAGTCAGTATTCTGCTAGCTGCCTTCAGATGGAGATGTAGAACTCTCAGCTCCTCCTGTGCCATGCCTGCCTGGGGCCATGAAAGGACAACTTGGTTTCTGGCTGGGCACAGGCCTGGAACCTCGAACCTCAATGGGGCAACGGCAGGTGTCCAGCCATGACCCCAGACCCCAGGCTTCTGACACACCACTGACCCACGATTTTCAGTCACTTAGGGCAATACAGCCCCTCCCTAAGAGAGGTTTGCATCTCCCAGCACAGGTAGAGGGCGTGACTACAGGTCTCAGGCCCTAGAGAGATTTCCATATTAATGAGTTACCTAAAGATCAGAGAGTGTAACCAATTATGTATTCTTTCCCAGACCCTCCTCTTTACAACCGGTATTTAACCAAAGGCCTGCTGCCCTGGGGGGGGCGCAGGGGTACCACCAGACCATCTACATCCTGCCATGAAAATAAAGCTTTGGGG